ATTTCCACGTTGAACTCCTCATCTCTTTTGTTCATTTCTCCCAAAGTGAAACATCCTATTATTCCTATAGCTTAGTCTCTTTCTGCTCAGTCCTCACTGAAGTTACCTAAAGTCCTAAACTAAAGAGAATATTTCTTTTGAAGATGTAAGCCCAAAGAAAACCATCTTTCTATACTTGCCAAAGTGATGAATCCATAGCAAAATCCTATGGTTTCCAAATGCAACAATGTCCAACAATCAAAGGACACAAAATACCTCACTTTGTCTAGGTGATGATGATCGCAACAGAGTATGAGAAACATTGAAGAAATATATTACACCCATCAAGAAAAGATCTAATCAAACTTTAAAGTACCATTAACATCTAGATCACATGGCTACCATTGTTGATTCATTACAGTAGAAGTACAAATAAAACCAACAATAGATCTCATCTCCAATTCCCACAGCATATCTTAATCTAGAATCCACAATACTCAACATGAATCTTAAAAATCTTATAAGGAAACAACCCAGTAGCCTGTAGCAAGATTCCCTTTGCAATATGGTCATAGATGCCTCCTTTCTTCTGTTTGAAATGTCCTAATTAGTTTTCTTAAAATTCTCCCAAAACAATTTATTCTCATTTACTCACTAAACCTAACTCTAAAGTAAACTTGCTTAAGACTCCAGCAGCTATTAAGGAGAAAGGTATTCTTAGCAGATTGTCCATTTGTCTAGGGCATCAAATACTTGCATCTTCCAATAAACAAACAAGAGATATAGGCAGAGATCCCAATTTTGAAGCTATATGCCAAACTGAACCTAAAAAATCATAACTTTGAAGTCTCAAATAAGAACCAAATCTACTTTATAATATTCATATAATCTTTTATGCCAAACACACTTATTCCCTACCAACATAATAAGTGTGTTTCTATACTTTTCTAGTATATATGCTCATGTTGCAACTTCAAAAAAATAAAAATTAAATAAGGAAAAAGAAAATAAGTTTTTCAAGCTTCATTAGTGAGCTCCGCAAGGAGCGCACATAAACCATTCAGAGTCATCAAATAATCGCTAAAACGGGATGTGCATATACAATAATGTAAATGAACACAGAAGTACTTGTAGGTAACAATAAATTATCCAAAATCCAAACTTTCCGGCCAAAAATGCATGAATGCTAAAAAAAAAAAAAAAATGTTCATTAAGATTTGGCCACAGAAGTAATATTGAAATATACAGAGAAAATTAAAACATTAATAATTACCGGAGAGTGAGATGCTAATGTTGGGGCGTATAGTGTAGTCGTAATGCGTTTCGTTTCAGGTGTAGATAAACCCTGATTTGACAGTGCTCCGGCACGTTAGGGTTTCGAATTTTGACGATCGGTTTGGGCTTTTGAGACATATATCACGTCAGTACCGTGATTTGAGTCATTTGACCCAAAAAAGATAATGTGGGCACCTCTCGACTCTCGAGCTCAGGCATAAATAAGATGATAAGACTCAAATAATCATCAAATTTAGAGTGTGATTTTAAAAAAATAATTAAAAAATTAGAGTGTAATTACTGTTAAAATTTTAAAAATTCAGCAATTCCTCAGTTTTGCAAAATTCTTTATTACATTATTAAAATTTTAAAATTCTTTTTACATGATTTATGAGAAAGTAACTCAGCATAAATCGTTCATAACGACTTAAATTCTATGATTAATAATGATGAAAATTTAATGTACAAAATCTAATTACAAATTAATAAATCATCATTAAATAATTTCTGAAAACTCTTGTGTGTTTGGAAACCTGAAAAATAATTTTTTTGAGTTTTCAGTATTTTACAAGAAGGAAAATACTAAAGTCAATGTAATATGAAATTTGGTCAATAGAAAATTGATGCATTTTTTACGGACAAATAATTTCCCCTTTTGTTAGGGGAAGTCATTTTTCGCGTCTTCTTTGCACTATGACCACAGAGACCTTCTTCGCTTGTTCGCGACATTCACCAACGACGCTTCTTCTTTGCACAGAGACTTTCTTCTTCGCTTCTTCGAGACATTCACCAATACTAACTTCTCGGCCATCGGAAACGTATTGGTTTCCGACTTGGAAACCTACATATCTGGTTTTCCAAGCCGGAAACCAAACCAGTGCTCTGGTCTGGTTTCCGGCTTGGGAAACCAGTCCAATGTTATTTAAAAAAAAAATTAATAAATTTATTGTTTGGGGTTTATACATGAAGTCATATCTATTATATGTTAAAGATTTTAAAATTATACAGTCCTAGATCAGAGAATAAGTTGGCTCATGCGGTTGCAAGGGCTGCTCTTCACAATTTGGTTCTTCTGTTTGGATTTCATCTATTCCTTCTTGTATTGAACGACTAATTTAATAAAGTTGGTATTCCTTTCAAAATAAAAAAATAAAAAATCCCTCTTCGCATTATAACAATCAAAATAGTGAAGTATATAACTTTACTCATTTTCCTGCTCATTTTATAGAAATAAACCAAACATAAAGACAGTTTTCTATTGTGCAGCCAAACACCAGAAAAGGAAAATGTTTTATGGAAAAGAGAAAATGACACTTTTTCCCCCTACGTTATATATTTGTAGCACTTTTTCCCCCTCAATTATTTATGTAAACACATTAGCCCCCTCAATTATTTTAAAAGTGGTGGTTTTTCCCCCTAATATATTAAATTGACATTTCTACCCTTAAAGTAAACATTTTATTTATTTTACTTCTCCAACAAATTATTGCGTATATGTAGCGATTACCACGGTTCGGTTCGAACTGAACCAGACACTATAGCAATCGAATTAAAAGTTTTCAGTTATGATTCAGATCTAGAACCCAATATTTGGATTTCAATTTATTAAATTTAAGAATTAAAAAAACTGGATCATGAACCGTGAACCGGCGGTTCCAGATCCGGTTCGCGATTTTGAACCGTCTTTATTTTAAAATTTTATTTTTTATTTTAAATTAGTCTAAATTCAACAATAAATGTATTTTATTTTTTCAGTTCGGAACATGAACCGGCCATTCCGGTTCGCGATTTTAATAAACTCTAAATATCGCGTTTTGATTATAAATTGTAATTGGAATATTTTGGTTTGGTTGCTATAGTATCTGTTTGGTTTGAACCAAATTATAGTAATAATTTATTGGAGAAGAAAAGTAAATAAAATATTTATTTTAAATATTTATTTTAAGGGTAAATATGTCCATTTAACATTTCAGGGGGAAAAAGAGTCACTTAAATAATTCAGGAAGAAAAAGTACTATAAGTATATAACTCAAGGGGAAAAGTGTCATTTTCCCTATGAAAAATGACTCATTTCCATAAAATATTTTTCAGAAATCATTTTATTGTTTTCCAAGCGGACTCTAAAATTGAATTTTAGAAGAAAAAAGAAAACGAATTCTCTTTTTTTTCCGAATGGAATGGCTGCCTCCCTCTTGCCTCGTGATTGTCCATCTCATCTTGCTAAGATCAGTGAAGGTTGGTTGTCTCTTTTATCTAAGAGCAACATTAATTGTGTAATTTTATTTTTTTTTGGATTTTTGTCAGGTTATATGAAGAAAAGATATAAGGTGATAAAGAAAGAAAGAAAAAAAGATGAAAAAAAAAAAGCATTAAGAAGGATGAAATACTTGGAAAGGGCACATGGTTGAGTAAGATATAGTATAGAGTTTTTTTTTTTTTTTTTTTTTTTTTTTTTTTTTTTTTTTTCTATAACACAACTATTTTCCTTTTCTTTTTACTCTAAAAAAATTGTGACAATCCTGATTTAGCATACAAATCAATTATCTCCCTCTCATCTATACTTTGTCCTCTATTGAGTCTAAAGTTTCTTGAAAACTAGAAAAAACTCCTCAATGGGAGGCTATAAGAGCAACCTCAAGAAAGAGTTTTTGTTTGTTTTTTTCCTTAGTTTAAGGGGAGATAAGGTGAAGTGGAGGGAAGAGAAGAGAAAAAGAATTTTTTAATTTTTTTTTGAGTGTTAGTGACTAATACAAGAGAAAAGGAAATTAATTTTTAGTAAAGTTAGTTTTTTTTTTTTTTTTTTTTTTTTTTTGTAAGACCCATGGAAAAGAAGAAAAAAAAAAAGTTCTCCCTCCTATGCGCTTTCGGCACACCATGGTTATATGGTACATGCACTGCACGTACCCTCTGAGCGCGTTAATAAATATTTTTTTTATTGACAACTGTTATAAAACTTTATTAATGAACATTATTATGATATTAATGACATGGTTTGTAACAGCTTGGTATTTATGAAATGTTTTGTAATAGCTGTCAAATGGAGATTGTATATATATATCATTGTAATCCTGTACAGTATGAGATGATGAAATAAGAGATATACATTCCTATGATGAAATAAGTATGTTGCAAGAATGTGAGTTTGTTGAGTCCCATCGCATATTATAAAAAACACACAACTAGTTGTGCACGTCAGGGCTTGGCGGCGAACTTAACTACTTTTTATTTCATTTTTTCTCTTGTTTTTCCTTCTGTCTCCTTCCTTTCTTTCCTACGTGGATGAAAAAAATCTATAAAAAGCCCACACTATTGAGGATGCTCTAAGAGCAACATTAATGTAGAATTTTGGTGAGTTTTTTATGCTTTGTTGGATGAGAGATGTGATGAAGTGGGAGATAAGAGAGAAAAAAACCAAGTTATTCTACAAGAACATGATTTTTCCAATGAAAAAAAAAAACTCCCATATGCTTCTATATACTTTCTAAAAATGAAAAACAAAACATTTTGATCAGATCAACATGGTATTTATCTTTCATTTCTTCTAAAATAGATCATATCCCAAACTCATGTATTTATTTTTCTGGAAACTTATATGAGAGGTGGATCAGAGTTATTGGGAAAAATAGACATATATTAGGAACAAAAGATGTACATGTAGCAGTAGCATGAAGGAATTCAAGTATGAAATAACAGAACAGGCAAGGGGATAGATAACATTCAGCTTATATGGAGTGGCTTTTCTTTTTCTGCCTCTTTTCTCCATCCCCAGAAAGATAGTGTTAAAGCTTGATTAGAGGAGACTCAGTAAACTGTGTCTTTCAGACTATAACTGGACCATATCAGCAAAAGAGACCAGATCAGATCTTCAATTATTATGGAAAACATAGTTCCCTATTTGGCCCCAAAGCCACGAGCGCTTGGTCTTGTCGATGCTGACTCTGTAAATAGCTTCCTAGATTTCGATTTCTGCTTCCTCTTTGCAGTTCCAGCAGTGGACTGTTTGGTGTTTATCAACGCAATCAAAAAACGAAAAATAAAAAAGTAAACTTTCAGTTTCCAGCCATGGAATCGAATGTTTGGTTGCAAATCCAAAAACATAAGCACCTGCTGTTCAAATTGCATTGCCTCTTCAAAGTTAGAAACAGATCCACCCTCCATTGCGCCCATCATATTCTTCATACGAGCACGCACTTGGAAAAATTGAGCGATTACTTGACTCACCTAAAAATTTGAAATTATGTGTAATGGTGAACGTACAAGCAGAACCAATTTTTTCCTATAAGAGAGTTTGGTTGGTGGAAAGGACACAGAGGACTAATTTGTCACCGTATTTACCTGTTGCTCAGTTCTTCCAGAATCTTGAGCAATGCGTCTCCTCCTAACTGGATTGCTGGCTAACAGCTCCGGATTCTCCCTCTCCTCTTTGGCAAAATGTAATTTAGATAAATCATCAATCATTTAAAGAAAAATGCAAGGAACGATTGCAGATTGGCGAAGCAACTAAACTTTCTTGTCAGATGCAGTTCTTTGATTATACTACAGCATTTGCCTAGAACCTAAACAGAAGATTTAGGTTGAGAAAATAACTAACCAGGGGTCATTGCTTCTATCATTGATTCCATCATCTTAAAGTTCTTTTCTGCCTGTCGAATTTGTGCAGGAGTTACCTGTTTGTTTGCCAAAGAGACGAAAGAATTAACTATGTTTCCACGTGGAGTAATAAACCTAAGGCAAAACACCGGGGTACTTGTTTCTGATCTTGATGGTTTACACCATCTAAAGTCGGTTAGTCAGTGATAAGCATATGGAATTATCGACAAAATAAAGGAAGGCCACCTTTGTAGGTAAAAGAAAGTGAAACAGATGTGTTTAGAGCCAGGCGTCCTACCTTAGACATGCCAGGAACCATTCCGATAACCTGAGCCATGGAACCCATCTGTGCAATTGCACGGGTTTGCTTGAGGAAGTCATTGAAGTCAAATTTAGCACTCATGATCTTCTTCTGTAACTCTTCAGCTTCTTCTTGCCGCATCTGACCAATTAGGGGTCCACTCAAGCGAAGTGATATTTAATGATCTCTACCCCCCACCCTCACCCAAACATCCCAACAAAAGAAGAAGAAGAGGAGGTAACCCCAACCAAGATGGCTAAGGATACAAACTTGTAACAAGTTCGAATCCCAGCCTTCTTGGTTTGAGCCAGTCAGCTATGGACAACCTAACCTGGTTTACCTCCTTGTGGTCCTTTGCCGGCTAGGGTCACAAGGCGGGGTTTACCCAGTGCACACCTTCAGATAGTGGTTGTGGGTTTCCCTCGCCACCTCAAGAAATAAAAAAAAGAAGAAGAAAGGAAAAAAAGGAACACTTACAACTTCTTGGGCCTTCTCCACAAAGGATAGAACATCTCCCATCCCTAAGATTCGACTGGCCATACGATCAGGATAGAAAGGTTCCAGGTCCTCCATGCGCTCACCCCTTCCTACAAGCTTGATTGGCTTTCCTGAAATCTGTCATAGTCTAATTGCTAAGTACAAAGCACACTCAAGTTTCTTTCTCCATCAAGTTTAAATATTAAGAGTGTGCAACTGTTCCATAATGAGAACTGCAGTTGAAAGCTACCCACTATCCAAATCTTTTTTCATATGCTCTGGTCACTTACCAAAGAATAAAAATGTTTACGGGTATTCCAATTTTGGTCTCTCAACTATGTATTTTTCCAATTTCAATCCTCATGTTCAAAATAAAACCAGGTTTGGTCATAAACTATTAAAACTATGCCAGTTTCAGTCTTAAAATGTGCCACTTTTAGTCCTCCATAAAAGTGGCATAGTTTCGATAGTCAGAGACCAAATCTAGTTGACTTCAAAGTGGGGCACCAACAGTGTAAAACACAATAGTCGATGGACTAAAATCGGAATTAACTCAAATGTTTAATTACTCTTTAGCAAATTATTCATTTGAAGTAATAAGACAACCTCTTTTACGCTCAAAGCTGCTCCACCTCTAGAATCCCCATCTAGCTTTGTCATAACGGCACCAGTAATTCCAATTTCAAGATTGAATGATGCGACCAGAGCTACAATTACATCAAAGATAATCAAAGGAGCAGAAGGTCAGCACATTTCCAGAAATTTCACTTCAAGATCATACAAATTGAGAACTGGTGCAGGTTTGTAAAAATGAAGTACAAAAAATTGAAGTTCAGGATCAGTTACATTTTAAATGAAGTGAGCCAAAGACAATGCAATAGTATTGTTCAACATCGAGGAAATGATAATTAACTAAATTTTCAATTCAAATTGCTTTTACAGTGTATAATATGAACAACATAGCAGGAAGGAAAAGTAAAAAGCTTGATTCCACTGGAAAACAAAAGGTAGCATCATGATGCAGGAAGTGCTTAATTCAGTTTCAGAAACAGAATTGAATGTACAAGAAAATATGCAAGTGTTTTCTGACTGATTTCACAGGCCAAACGTTTCTGTGAGTGGCTATAAATTTTGACAAACAATACAGCAGAATATAATATGCAGGCAATAAACTAATTGCAAATGATATGGTTCTGACAAACAAATAAGGAATCATGAATAAATATGACTTTGCATGTAGAAAAGAAACACAAACTAGGTCCAACAAATGATTAATTTTATCATGCGACAAAATCTCATGTAAAGGTTGATAAGTGGATTGGATAAGCTCTGATACCATGTTATAATCTAAGATTTGGCCAAGGTCACTCAATTGGGCCATAATGCATGTGAGCCAAACCACACTAAAAGATTGAATCCAATCAATTAGCTAGTCTAACCCGTGGCTTCATAAACCAATATGTTCTCTCTTATATTTTCAATGTGAGACTCTTAATAGGTACAAAGTGGTGTACGTACGTATAGGGCAAACATGGAAAAGAGAAATAGAGCAACAATGGGAATGTCCTAACATGTCCTCATTTAACCAATAATAGCAAAAAATAGTAGAGGAGATCATCTGTTTGGAAATTCACTAGGTCATTGTAACTTCAAATTAAAACTAAATCAGGCATACAACGAGCAAGTGGTTCAGCTCAGAATTGTTCCATCCCATTTTAGAAGCCTAGAAGATAGATATATTGCCATAAACAAAGCTTAATATCCTCCCCTGTAATACGATATAGTACCTGCTGCTTCTTGGCCAGTCATTGCGTCCACAACAAGCAAAACTTCTGTGGGGTTCAATACCCGCTTCACTTCCTTCAATTCATCCATCATCTCCTTATCTATCTGATGAAGACCATAAATAATTTTTTTTTAAAGGATAAGAATGGGGTACATTTTATCCAAATTCCTGCAAGAACATCATATTGTCATACAACCTGAAGTCTTCCAGCTGTATCCATTATGACCACATCTACTTTATTTCTTTTGGCCTCTGCTAAACCTTGTCGAGCTATATCTGCAGGCCTAACGTCAGTTCCTGCTTTATAAACAGGCACACCAACCTGCCCCATGGTTAGCAGTTATCATGAGAATGATAGCTTAGAATAAATAGCCTTAGTTATTTCTCAAGTTATCAAAGCTGCTTTTCAAATGCAAAAAAGGTGAAATTTCAAACATATTGAAACTCATTATAATGTTTCAATCAATATAATGAAAGAAATTCAGTTTGCACTTTGCAGTGATGATAGAGAATGTTTTTTGTTAATGAAAATTGTATAATCAGCAATACTGTTAGAAAAACATGGAATCTTGAAATATCAATACATGGGCAATGTTGGGTTGGTAATTAGCAAAGCATATTATTTTAAAGTAATATGAGATACCTTTTCTCCCAAAATAGCAAGTTGGTCAATTGCAGCAGGTCTATACACATCTCCAGCAATTAGCATGCAACTCTTTCCCTGCAACCCATGTCACCGGGGTCTTTCTTAAGCTTAAAACATTCTCTAGGCATGCGTGTGTTGAAAATGGAGAAAGGCATCGTTTTGCCTTTAGATTTATATGTGCATGTGTGTACGTGTGACTATGCATGCATGAGAGAAGAGAGAGGGGATCCCTGAGAAAGTGAATATGCACCTGTTTCTTAAGATAAAAAGCTAATTTTGCACTAACGGTTGTCTTTCCAACACCTTGTAGACCAGCCAATAAAATGACGGTGGGACCAGATTTTGCGAAAACCAGCTCAGAAACCTCTCCACCCATCAGTTTCACAAGCTCCTCATGTACAATCTGCATTAATCATTAAGAAAGCTTCAGTAAACACCAAAATTTAGCATGTAAACATAATTTAGAAGGATTACGGAGTTGATACCACAAGTGCTAACAATAATAAAGTCATTTAATTATGTAACATTCTCACGGGAAAATACTACCTTAATTTGTCAAAAACAGAAAAATGTCACACTTTCACAATTAAAGGATGTCTATGAAACTCGAATAAACATAAACATAGGCAATTGCATCAATGCATCATTGTCCAAGTTAGTGGAGGTGGGAATAAGGCATGTAAAACCAAGAAAGAACAAGTAGAAATGAATAGCTTTATTCAATCAATCACTCATAAACGTACTTTGACCAATTGCTGATCAGGTCTCACTCCCCGAATCAAGCTAGTACCAACAGCATTTTCAGTAACAGATTCAATAAACCTTCTCACAACTGGGAGACTGACCTGCCATTGAAGGTAGATATTACAAGTTTGAGGCACATATTCGGTGTGGAAAATGGAAAAACACTCACTACAATAGAAATTGTTCATACATCTGCTTCCAGAAGAGCCCTCCTAATGTCTCTCATAGGTTCAGCAATGTTTTCCTTTGTCAAGGCCTCTGAAACACAGCAATTTCAGCTTGGAATTGTGAAAAAAAACATTAAATGCAGTCTGTTCGAGGCAACCAGAAGTAAGCACAATAAACTTCTGGCATGGAAGTGGGTTAGTTTGATACTGCAAGGAAGAAAAGCTCTCATATTTTTGGACAATGCATCATATAATTCCCCAAGATTTTGAATATCAAATTACATCACAGAAAAACAGCAAGCATTTCTTCTAGTCCCCTTCCCCTCATGAAACATCACATGATCCTAGATTCCTAGATTACAGTTAGACTAAATTATACAATTACCAATGCAAAACAGAATAATTTGAAAGAAAGATAACAAATTTGAATTGAAATTAAGTACATAAAGTAAGAACAGACCTTCCCCTTTGAGCTTGTTCCAAGCAGATTCAAGTCCGCTGGTGAGCTGCCCAAACATATCCGCTCTAATCACACTCTTTCTTCTAGAATTTACTGCATTCTTTAAATTTATCACCCTCCATGCCTCCCTCTACCCACACAAACAGTTAGATAAACACTAATTAGCACCCAAAAAAAATATTACTCCGTAAAAGATTGCAGTAATATATCCAGGACTTACAGTGAAAGAGTTTCGAGAGGAGAAAGAGAGGGAATGAGTAGAACCAATCCAAGAAGAAGACGAAGGAGGATTATATGACCTTCTAGGGATGTCTGATAGGTAGACTTTGGTCAGTGGAAGCGAAGAAAATGAAGAAGAAGAGAAATGGTGGGAAGCAACGGTCGACGTGAAAGCTTCCATGGATTTTTTTTAATTTTTTTGACGAATCAATGGAAAATGCAGGATTTGGCAGCAAAACTTCTACTCTATGACAGTTGGGTCGTCACTCTGGTGTTATCCATCCAGTTGCAGCGGGGAAAATTATCAACATAACCCAATTAAGGTTCGGTTATTTCCACTTGCTAATTTTAATGATTACTCCATTAGCGACTAGCGAGTTAATTTTATTGAAATAGCTTCTAGCTCAATGATGCTCTAAAATGAATGTACCTATTGGAGTTTTGTTTTTTTTTTTTTTTTTTTTTTTTTTTTTAAACATTGGAGTTTGAACATGTGACATCTCATTTATATATATATAGTTTTCTCGCGTGGCCATATGGATTGCACCATTAGATATGTATAAATGCACCAAAACGTATTCAAAAATATACCGAAGTGAAAATCACAAATGCACCACAACCCTAAGACTTGTAGTCATGCACCATTAGTTATGCATAAGTGCACCACAACGTGTTCAGAAATACACCAAGGTGAAATGCAGAAATGCACCACACCTTGGTCACATGATGCATTCTTGTATACCCGGTCATGACATGACCGCACGTCTGTACGAGAAGGTTTGTTCACACAATAATAAGAATATATAGAAATAATAAAAATAGAAAAGAAATCAAAAGCTGTGCAGTGGTCATTCTTTTCAACAGTTTTGGTGGCTTTTTCTCATTTGCAAATTCTCTCTCCTATTATTAATTTACCCAACTCTCTCTTCATTGTGAATACACATAAGCATAAAGAAATAGAAAATGATTTTCTTTCTCTTGCCATATCACATTGCCAATGTGAGATTTGCAGAAACGTGTTCAACCTTGTTGTTAAATTTATGGAGCTTTCTTTATATTTTAGGTTTTTTTTTATTATTTATTTATTTATTTATTTATTTTAGGTTATACTTTGTATAATTATAATCATGGATTACCTAATACAAAGTAATAAATATGTATATAATTACTATTTATGTCACCAAACTTTAATTTAAAACTCTTGGTATCATTGACAAAAGTTATATGATTCTAAAATTTATTTTGATGTTAAAGGTCTTTAATGGAATTAATCGATCTATCACCAGAAAATTAATGCAAGAATAAACAAATAATGGGCTTAAGTGATTGTATTGCTTTAAATGTTCAGTACAAATTTATAGTGTATCCTCTTTGAATGAACTTTTTTTTTTTTGAAAGCTCTTTGAATGAATCATTCTCTCTTCATGACAATACATTCGTTTGTGTTAATCCAATGCAAATGAGGTTTCTTTCTCTCTTTCTGTTCATTGTTGAAGATTTGCAGGAGAATCAGAACCAGAAAACACAGTAGTGATTTTTATTGTAATGTAATGCTTAGATTAACTTATGATGCATGTATGCAAAGGTATAATAAATACAGGTAATCTGGTTATGAAGAGATTCACCAAACAATGGATTAAAAGTGACATAATATGAGACAGTGCTTTTCAAGTTTAATAATAGATCACTGCAAGAATGGCAATGATTCCATGATAATTAACTGCCAAGCTTCCACTTTTCTCTGGTTCAGACTTTATCTTCATCACTCTTTATTGCATTTCTGAATACATGAACTACTACTGATCACACTCTCATTCACCATTTTCGAGGCCTTTGTCGGCTTGCAGCTTCTCGAATGTGCACTTTTACTTCTCCGCAGTTTTGATTGAACTCTCCTGCTTACTGTGATCACATTTCTGCCTTCACCTCCTTCCTTGGTTTCTTCATGAGGACTCGAGATTCGACAGAGATGATCGTCGCAAGCTTTTCCCTTTCCCTTTCCCTCTTGAAGGACATTCTTAAGGGTGAGAAAACCATAAGCTTCGATTGTTTGATCGAGCTCCTTGTCGTTTGGAAGTGGTTGAGGTGTTCTATGTTGTCTGTTTTCATTAAATGCCACAAACTCGGGTGCTGGACTGGATTCTGTAACGGATTCTTCTCGGTCTCTCAAGATCCTCTCGATTAGAGTCCTCATAAAATTCATTACTTGGACAGCATACATCAGTGCAGTCAAGGGATCAGCCATCTGCAATCATTAAAAAAAAAAAAACAAAAAAAAAAAACATGACCTTTAGTCTGACTCTGATACCAAATTGAAGCATGTGTTCCATCTCAACTAAAAGTTTAAGTTGATAGTTGGATTGTACATTAATGGTTATATGCTCAACAATAATGTCCTGAATCCTGACAGACAAAATGGTTCATCTACCTGAGTCATGTTTGGTGCAAAAACCATCGCGACATTCCTCGCATTCATCTTGTTCATATGTTCCATCTGCACAACATCAGCCATCAGATTTATCACCCAATCCAACAAAGCTGCTTCTGTTGGTGGAAGGCTCCTCACGAGCTCGACACATTCATCTTCTGATTGTGCACGAATAACGTCTTCTGGCGATAGAGAGTCCAGCACTCCCTTTGGCAGTTCTCTAAACCATGCCTACAAAACCATCTTATCATCATCCTTTTTCAACTGCAAATAGTAAAAATGTTTACCAAACAAAGAAATAGGCCTATTGCTATGCCATTCCAGGCCTATTCCGTGAACCAAACAGCATTAAGGTAGTACCTTGATAAGCCCGGCTAAGCAGTGGACATCTATGTTGTCTGGCACAATGCCACTATTCAACCGTTCCCTAACATATTCTTCCTGCCCATTTTCACCATTGATTCTGAAGATTCCTTCGGCCTGCAAGCCTCCTTGTGCGTATAAACGAGCCTGCATCATCAAGAGTATAGTGGGCACGCTGTTCCCTCGGGAATCAAACGAGAGCTGCATACAATCCGTTGAAACACCAAACACTCTTGTACTACAATCCAACAGGCAAAATAATTAAAGAAAACTCAAAAAAGGGTAGTGTAAAGACAAGTTTTTTTTGGATATGATCAAACCTGGCGCTGGGGGGTCTCCGGGGGACTTCGGGCTCGAACTCGACAGGGAGGCCGAGGAAGCCATTGAAGCGATCAAAGGTGACATGTGCAACATGTCTGACATTGCTAGGCCAGCTAATCTCCATAGTTGGAGAAGAATTAGCAGAAGAAGAAGATGATGAAGAAGAAAGCTGCCCTTCACTGATCTTGCAAGCCACCTATAATAATAATGATTACCTAAACACTGTCCACCAACAAGGACAGCTGATCTCCCTCCTCCCCCTTTCTCTGCAACTGTCTCTTCTTCTTGTAGTATTTACTGAGAACTGAAGAAAACTACAAGACAAGAAAGAAATACTATCAGTGGCCTATATTGGTGCAAACCATCATTGATTATCTGTAGATGATTAGCCTGGTAAGGAGCTTGAAGATGAAGTATACTATGCCAGCTGGGACTGTATTATTTCTTCTGTCATTTTCTGAAAAATTTTGTTAACAGAAAGATTGGAGGTTTTAAGGTTCTTGTTTTGATTATAGTATACAATAATATATACGACCCATATAGCTTTAATAAGTTTGGTAGATCTTCATTTTGTTAGGATGGAATTTGTTTGTTTGTTTGTTTGTGTGGGGCTTTAAAGATGGTTTTGGTGGATTAATACTACTGTAGTGCGAGTATATTGAAGAGGAAGAGTGGGGGAGGGGTATTAAATGGAGTACAGGGAGGATTGAGTAGAGTTGGATACAAGTAAAGATGTTGGGAAGGTGAGACTTGAACATCATCATTCACTTCCACAACATTGTCATTATTGATTGCAAATTGGTATTCATTATTAGGTTTTTATGGATCAAATTGGTGTATATATCCAATCAAAAAATATAACAATTTAAATTTAAAAATAATCAGGCATCAGCAAATTATTGTGTGGACCACATAATGCTACGAGGACCATAATAAAAAGTACATTACTTGTGTACTGAATATACATTATTTGATAGTATAATCCACACAAATGTGTGGACCATGGTATGGTCCACACAATAATGATTGTCTAGCATATTTATTTGTAAAACTAAGAAATTTTTACGTTTACTCTCATGACTATTGAATTATTGCTATATTTAGTCTCTAACTTTTAATTTGATCACATTTAATCCTATGACTTTATTAATATTGTCACATTTGGTCCTTTGTTACAATTTCTATTAAATTAAAATTAATTTTTAGGACAATTTGATATTTTACAATCTTAATATCATCTTCTTGTCAAGTCAAACGATATAATAAACAATAATTTGATATTTTTTTTTTTTTGAAAACTTAGCTCTTCTATGCTACGTTGTTTATTATGTCACTTATGAGTGTTTTTCAAGCCAATATAGTTCTAAGCTAGAAATGAAATAAATTCTAAATGTTTTCCCAAAAATTTGATCAGAATGACTAAATATGCCCAAAAAACCGTGCACTAAATGTGAAATAATTCTTGAAAGCAAAGTGTGAGAATCATCTAATCTAAATACTTAAAGTTTGATTATGATGAGTTTTGAACTTACAGTTCTCGAATTCAAACCCCTAAGATCCATGTCATTAGAGCAATATTAATGCCAATTGTTAAATGGGAATTCTATTTGTACCACTCAATTTACTATTTACACCACCCTTTTAATAGGTGTAATAATTTTATAGGTGATGCAAATAAAAAAATGTTATTTGCACCATAATCATTAAATGTGGTTAAATATTAATATTTATTTTTATTTTTTTAACAATCAAAATATTAAATAAATAAAAAAAAATTTTCCCGTCACCTTCTCCGATGAGGGGCTGCCTTCTCACCATAAAAGGCAACTGGGTGAGAAGGCAGTGGGTCACCTTCTCACCGGAGAAGGCGACTACCTGGGCTGCCTTTTCCAGTGAGAAGGCAACCCACTTGACTACCTTCTCACCGGAGAAGGCAACCAAGTAGAAAGCTTCCTGAGTCGCCTTCTCACCGGAGAAGGTGACGAGTTCATCTTCTTTTTTTTTTTAATTAATTAAATTTTGAATTAAAAAATTATTAATTCCACCTCATAAATGAGGTTTGACCAAGATGATGCAAATAGCAAAATAAATCTCCATTTGGTTATTTACACCACCTATGTAATTATTGAAAGTTTTACCCTTTTTTACAATTTTAAGATACTCTATACCCACTTTTGACCAAAGGGTGGTGCAAATAGTACCATGGACCATGGTTCATATTGCATTGTGAACCTGATACAAAAATTTGGTACCTTCCATTAATACATTACCTACAAATAACTTGATAATTGCTAACACATAATATGATAGCTACAGATACAGAAACTATCAACTGCAAGTACATAATGTATCAACTATAGATACATAAACTAACTTGATAATTGCTTATACATAATATAATAGCTACATGTACAGAAACTATCAATTACGGGTACATGATGTGTCAAGTATAGATACAAAATCTTAAGGTCATTCTTGGACTAAGGTCTACAATACAAGGTAGACCCTAGCCATGGTATATAATTTGCTGTATACATGTGTAAGTGATTTCCTAGATTATTACCTAAATAACAGACTTAAATAAATAAAAAAATTGTTTTAGCCTCTCAGTCAACCAATTTTAACATCAACACCTAATCTTTCAACTAATACCCCGAAAATGAATCACATAGATTTGACTCCACATCATGCTGTACATTTACAGATTTATTCTACCCATTTGTGGTTTACCCCTCCCTATAATTGTTGTTATTAGTTGTTTTCATCCTCTATACCTTTTTTTCCTCTTTTTAGGTGAAAATGGGACATGTGATTTGATATCCACATGGTAATATGCTTCTCGAAGGAATATGCGCAAATGCACATTCCACATCCATTCGTCCACCAAACTTCTGTTTAACACTGAACAATCATGCTCTTCAATACAATTCAATGTATTTCAATTTGATAACTTTTGTATCAGTTAGTTCATGGTACAAGATCTGAAGTAGTGAACTTTAACTACACAATACATTGAAAGTTACCATCCTGTGATGCAAATGACTAAGTTCTGGCAACAGGTTCAAGTGCTTCAATGGTAACCACACTGTTCCCCCTAAGGACCTGCACCGAGAGAAATGAAGATAATTAGGATTTAGGAAAATAGGCAAAAATGTCAAGAGAAAAATGGAAAGAGAGCCAGAGAGGAACTAATTGTGTGGAATCAAAACACGTACCACCATGCCAATGTCAGTTCTTTCATTGCCATTTACTTCAACGGTGTTGTCCACAACCAGATTCATGAACTGATCAAAACCCCTAAGTGTTCCAACCACCATTCTGTTAGCATTTAACTTGACTGCAAAGGAGATATTGATTATGAATTCATTGCCCTACTGCACTTATAAAATACACTAATACAGTGGCCTTGAAACAAGGAATGTTGGATAACTGGAGATGTCACAAAAAAAAAAAAAAAAAAAAAATCCCCTTAAGGTCAAAATAAGCAGAAGTGCCACTACTAGATGAAACACGTAATGGGGATTCGTTATCTAGTCTACCTATGTGAAAATATTTAAGTGTATGCAAGGTAGAACAATGTGCACAGAGTGAGTAGATAAACCACAAGAAAAGGTAGTTCATACCCACAAACCTGTTCCTCAAAAGAAGTCATCTCCAGTTACAAACTATAAGAATATTATCTTTTCGTCTGTCAAAGCCTCAAAGGTGAATGGAAGAGAAGATTTATGTACATCCTAAATGCATCGAACTAAAAAATTCCTTGATTAATCCATTTCATTCAATCTCAAAACAAGAAGCATTCCTCTTCTCTTTTCATTAATTCTCAGCATTTTATTGCCATGTTGTAGAATTGTTAACTTGAACAGCTGCTAATTCAGTGCATAATCTATGCAACTACGGAAGAGAAGGTTTATGTACATCCTAAATGCATCGAACTAAAAATCCCTTGATTAATCCATTCCATTCAATCTCAAAACAAGAAGCATTCATCTTCTATTTTCATTAATACTCAGCATTTTATTACCATATTGTATAATTGCTAACTTGAACAACTGCTAATTCAGTGCATAATCTATGCAACTACGGAAGTTCTTTCTACATGCCCATCAGCTTTAACAGAGCACAACGATAGCATCATAACAGTATCATTTTTCGAGAACAAAAAATGAGGATGAAAAGAAAACTTACTTTGCAGCTTCTTGTCCATGTACCTATGAGCAAAAATAAATTTTAAAAAAAATTAAAATTAAAGGAAAGCGGTAAATGGATAAAACCATAATGACGCTTGAGCAGAGGCATGTTAAAAGGAAAAAAAGAAAAAAAAAAAAAACTGATTAGAGAACGATTACTCACTTCTTGAGATCCGGCGGTTGACCCGATCGGCTCATCGTTAAACCCTAACAGCTTTTACTTCACCAGGAGAGGGAAAACGAAGAAGGAACAGAACCAAAGTTGAGAAGAACCGACGTACAGTCGTTTATGCAGACATCTGGGCCGGTTTTAAGGCGACGGAAATAATTGGGCTCTTATAGGCCCAATAGTCTATGGAAACGCAAATTATGTTGTGCAACCGAATGCACAATGCCCATGGTGCATTCGATGCAAAACGACATCGTTTTGGTTAAAAAACGCGCGTCCCACTTAAAAAATAAATCAGGTTTGGTTCTCGGCAATAACAGTTTTATATATCCATAAATTCATAATTATATATCCACAAATTCATAACTATATATCCACAGTGAATGAATGAACTAAATATCCACAATGATTGAACTAAATATCCACAATGAATGAACTAAATATCCATAAATTCATAACTATATATCCAGAAATTCATAACTATATATCACAAATTCATAACTATATATCCACAATGAATGAATGAAGTAAATATCTACAATGAATGAACTAAATATCCACAATGAATGAACTAAATATCCAGAAATTCATAACTATATATTCAGAAATTCATAACTATATATCCACAATAATGCTATTGCCAAGAATCGAACCTGAACTTTTTTTTTTTTTTAAAGTGGGACACATGTTTTTAGTCAAAACGACGTCGTATGCACCATGCGCATGGTGCATTCGGTTGCACAGCATAACTATTGCGATGGAAATAATTGGGCGCGGGATGGATAAATAACGTAAATTACGAGTGGCATAATCAGATTTCAGTTCACACTCTTCTCTCAAATAGTACCTACTATATCAGTAAATTATAAATTATTCTGTAAATTCGAATTCACCTCGAATTCAAATGTTCACAAGTTATTTTTTAAAAATTCACAATTTGGATATTACGAACACATAATGTTAACATATGTAATTGATTACCTTGTTTTGTATTTACAAGTTCATTTTAAATATTGCAATCAACTTTTATTAATTTACTTTGTTTTTTTTTTTTTTTGAGCTTTTTTTTTTTAGAACATTCTTTTTGAGCTTTTAACTAAGCTAAAAGAGGATAAGCAAATAAGCAATGTCAGTTTGTAATTTTATGTTGGGGTCTTTGGAGTAGGACTGACAAGGTTTGGAAGGGGGTATCTTTTGCTATTGACTCAATGGTGCGTATTGCTCTTTCCTTTTGGGCAAACTGGAAAATGGTGAATGCAGGGGAGAAGGAGCATACTGGAATGCATGCCCACTTGTCACAATGGACATTACCTGCCGCTGGTAGAGTAAAATTGAATAATGATGCCGCTTTTAATGTGGAGAATAATGTTATGGGCCTTGGTTGGATCTTGCGTAATGATGGCGGTCGATTTTTGGCAGCCAAAAGTTTACGAGTGTAAGGTCAATACAACGTCTTAGAGGTGGAGGCGGTTTGTGTCCGAGAAGCTCTCAGCTAGTTTAAAGATACAGGACTAGGAGACGTTGATATTGAAACAGATTTCTAATTACTTTATTTTGCTTTACGTTCGACTTCCTTTTATTCTGCTTTTGGTTTATTAGTAGATTAGTAGATGATATTAAAGAAGTTGCCTCCATGTTACACGGGGTAGACTTTGGTTTTGTTAAACGATATGCGAATTGTGCTGCCCATACTGTCGCTCGGGAAGCCGCTTTAGTGTCAAGTTGCGGGGAGTGGTTTGATAGCCCTCTTTATTATCTTGCTGATGTTATTGTTTCCAATTTAATGAATTAAGTTCTTTCTTTCAAAAAAATTTAGGATTTGATGACCCTATCTACGGTTGTTATTTATTTTGACTTAGAAATACAAGTTATATTATAGAAGTTTACAATTTCAATACTAAAAATACACAATTTATACGACGTTTAGAATCAAAGTCCACAAATACCAAACACTGAAATTGATAATTCTGTAATTTTATTCCTACAAATCAAATATTAAAATTTAAAATTTTCACTTTATTTTCACATACTCCGTAATTTTTATCCAATGAAATTCCCCTTGCAACCAAACTCCCCTTATCCAATGGAGAGTTAATTCCAGCAATGGTCCTCCAACTATTGTGATTTTTTAAAATTAGTCCTCGTCTTTTAATTTGGACAAAATAAACCCTTGACTATCAGATTTGTTCCACTATTAGTCCTTCCGTTAAGAGTCAGTTAGATAGGCATTATAAAAAGGGTACAAGTGTAATTTCATCTCCCCCTATCTCTCTAAAGTTACATCTGGAGGAGCTGGCCGGAGAAATAATGAATGAGCACCGCGTCATCCCCAAACGCCGCCTTCATGTTGAAGTGCGCCGCCGCGACCTCGAATGCCAAATCAGTTTATAAACTCCGTCGATTTTGCAGGACCTGCCACTGTGCCGGTGATTCGCAGAATCATTAGGAGATGATTTCCCGGAAGAAGACGATGACGAAGAAGGTGAGGGGCCGGCTATGAGAGGAGAAGTGGGGTTTTGTTGTTGCTGAAAAGTTTGCGGCGGCGGTGTCGATTAGGTGGAGGTTTAGACGTGGTGGAGTTTGTGCTTGGTTCTTGATTTTCTGATCTGGAACCAATAGAAGACTTTGGCGTCGCCGATTTGACCGTCCATTCCAGAATTGAAGATAACTTCAAGAATGCGTATTTAATCTGGCTTCGGATTCCATCTCGCCTTTGGCTCTGGAGCGCTCATCTCTTCACTCCCACCAGTTGAAGGGGCTGTTAACGGTGGTTTGAGGGAAGAGCTGAGAATGTCACGGTGGCAGTGCCATGGGTGGAGAGTGTTGCTAGGCCAGTGTCTCTTTGATGAAGACATTGATGAATGATGAATGCATTCAATGGAAGCCCCAAAACCCACCTTTTATTTTAATTTGCTGCTCTCTCCCTCTCTTGTTTTTGACAATTCATAATGTTCTTTCTTTGTTGGTGATGAAATTAGGGGGTGTGACATCCATGGACACATTCTTGGAAAGGTTCTTTTCGAAAGTTTATAGAAAGAATAACGAGTTGCCAACTTGCCATTACCTGGGTTCCATGTCATTAAACTTGCAGGTATTCCCCTTGAACCAACACCGCCATGTCTAAGAATACCTGCAAAGCTTATTTTATCATTTCATTTATAGATTATGTATGATCTGCTCTCTACATGTTTTAGCTTCTTTCAAACAATAATTAATAAATCACATATACCTGATTATTCATTGCAAATAATCCGTGAGCTTAAAGTATGACCATAATCAATAATGAGAAGCTTTATCAATAGGCTAAAAGCTCCAAAGACCAAATTGATCATTCTAAAAGCTCTAAAGACCAAAGTTATCAATAGGCACCAACTTCCTCTCTGTGCATTTTAGACATGAAAATGATACCTGTTACTGCATCATGGCGTTCTTGAATTTTTGCAAGGGTGTCCATTACCTCATAAAGATGTGAATCAGTACTACAAGTTTAACAGTAAAACTTTTACTATGTTCACCTCGTCCCTCTACTTGGCGGCTCTGCTTTCTTCCATGGTTGCCTCTTGGGTCACCAGAAAACTAGGTCGGAGACTGTCTATGTTGTTCGGAGGTGTTCTCTTCTACGCCGGAGCTCTGTTCAACGGCTTTGCTCAGAATGTCGGGATGTTGATCATCGACTGTATTTTGCTGAGTTTGGGTTTGGTCATATGCCTGAAATAGATCCACATACTCACCAGCATCAGGAAGAAGAAAGCAATCACAGATCACAGAAAATGACCCTTTTAACCCTAAATTTAACGCTGGTCTAACTAACCGTTAACGGAAGGACCAATAGTGGAACAAATTTGATAGTCAAGGGTCTAATTTGTCCAAATTAAAAGACGAGGACCAATTTTGGAAAATCACAATAGTCGGAGGACCATTGCTGGAATTAACTCTTTTATTTATTAGTAAATGTGTAATTCCCTCTAATATGTTTTCTATTTTTTAGTTTTCTGCTTTTCTTAAACCCAAATTAAGCTCTAAACCCTTCCCCCTTCTCCTCTCAAGAAAATCAGTGAACTCCAAGCTATGTTGATTGGACACAGCAACAAGACCAGAAAGTTTCTCCTCAAAATTCTCTGGTTCTCTTCTCAAAATTCAATATTTTCTCACTCCATAGCTTGTTCATATATCCAGAGGCAGAGCTATGTGAATGTGTACATGAAATGGAAGCAAGATTTCTACTTCGATTCAATTGAGTCCGTTCACAAATCCATTGAATTGCAGCCCATAATCGCCCTCAAGAACTACATAGTTTCTGCTTCACCTGAAGAGTATTCCATCCCCATTTCTGATGTTTCCAAGAAGGGCTTACGTTTTGGGGTGCGCATTAAGGTTGCCAGGTTCTTGAGGCAATACCCTTCTGTTTTCGAGGAGTTTACTGGCCCCAAGCACAATCTTCCCTGGTTCAGGCTGACCCAGAGAGCCATTGAGCTTGATAAGGAGGAGAGAGAGGTTTACAGAGCGTTTAAGGATGACCTTCTGTTAAGGTTGAAGAAGTTGGTTTTGATGAGTTGTGTTAGTTTTGGTGATAAAAAGGTCCTGCCTTTGAAGATCATCCAGGGTATGCAGTGGTATTTGGGATTTCCTGACGATTTCTTGACAGACCGTGAAAGTAATCTTCCCAAATCTTTTGAAATTGTGGAAATGGGGGATGGTCTGAAAGGACTGGCTCTTAACAATGAAGGGAATGAAAAGGTGCTGTCTGTGATGCAGAGGAATGCAATGAAAAGAGGAGTGTATGATGGTGGGGAGAATGAAACCATTGCATTTCCCACATTTCCATCAAAGGGGTTGAGGTTGAGGAGAAAGATTATAGATTGGTATGATGATTTTCAGAAGCTTCCTTATGTTTCACCTTATGAAAACTATTCAGCTATAAGGCCTGATAGCGAAACGGCAGAGAAACGGGTGCTGGGCTTGCTTCATGAGTTGCTTAGCTTGTTTGTGGAGCATGCTGCTGAAAGGAAAAAGCTTTTGTGTCTCAGGAAGTACTTGGGGTTGCCACAAAAGGTGCACAAGGCATTTGAGAGGCACCCTCACATTTTCTATCTATCTTTGAAGAACAAGACCTGCACTGCAATATTAAAGGAGGCTTATTGTGAACAAGGTGCAATTGAAGTACATCCTCTAGCAAAGGTGAGGAAGAAGTACATCAATTTGGTGAAGGAATCGGCTTTTATTTTGAAAAGTAGAAGGTTCAACAATAGGCCACGAGATCAGGGAAATATGAATGTAAAGGACTTAGATTGTACAGAAGATGAGAATGAGAAGACTGGAATTGAAGCTGCTTAAGTAATGATTTTCAAGATGAAAGTTGTGTGCTTCTAGAAGTGGCTAAATGAAACTTGAGCCAAAGTGACCTAGCAGAACTTGAAGGCTATACAGATACATTGAATGTAAGATTCTCTTATTCTGAATAGATTTGACTTGTAGGAGGAAGTTTGTTGGACATATGCTTCACATCTGTACCCACCCTTTCTGCTCTCAATCAACCTTCTTGCCTAAAATTTCCCAGCTGTATTTTTGGATTCATGTTTTCAGCATGTGAGCTAGAGAAAGCTAGATTTGCATTAATAACAATTCCATTTTAAGCTGCTGGACCGATCAGTTGTCTTTCATCCAGTTGGTTTGCTCTTGACTTGATGCTTTAATCGTTATATTTGCATTGTGCTAATGGAAACTGCTATTGGTTTTAATGTGTTTTAGTAGCAAGTTAAGTTGTGTGTTGGAAGATAAATTTTAATTGTTCTCTGCATTATTCAATGATCTGTATGTAAAGTTAACAAAGGTTTATGCATGTACTTGTTTCCTAAATGTGATTTTTGGTCCCTTGTTGACATAGTATCTACCATGTCTTCAGCCATATGTTGACAAGTTGAGCCTCACAACTATGAACTTATACAACCTGACTCTTTCTGCAGATAATGCTAACCTAGCTTCAGGTGCTTTATCACTACAGCTAGATCACTTATTGGATGATGCAATTAAGAAACTTGGGTTGAAGATAGCAGAGGGAGGATCCTATCTATTCAATTCAAGTCGCTTCTCGCTAACAATGCACAAATAGTGTTTGGCTCTGATTGGCCAGTATGAATCATCTCATACCTACAAACTGATATTTTCATAATTCCATTGTAGTTTATCAAGTTTCTGCTCGAGGGTTGCCAGGCCTTTCTCTTTATCTTGTTTTAGGTAGCAGATATTAATCCATTGAGAAGCATAGCGACAGCAATGAAAAGAATGCCTGCCAGTCAACAAAAGGACGTTGGATTCCATCAGAACGCATGAGTCTAAACGAGGCACTAGATGTGTAAGACAAACAGGGGTTTTTTCAAGCCATTCCTTTATGTTTTTGCCTCTGGGAAAGAAATTAAGGAATCCATTATCTCTTTTAATGTTGTCTTATAAAGTAGGAAGTTTTCTAGATTATAACAAGAATAGAAATTGTTTGGACCTTCTCTTGACTGCAATTTTTTTTTTCTTTCTAAATATAGCAAAGTACTACACATAATAGTGTAATTGCTAGTAAAAAAATGGAGCATTATATTCTGAATCTTTATGTTGTTTCTATAGTGTTATTGTCACCTGCCAGTGGTCACTGGGGGATGTTTGATAAATGGTTGTTAGCTAATAGAGTTAGTGTGTTTGACTAGTTGATAGCATTGGCTGATTGTAGAAAAGTGTTTGGTAAATTAGTTGTTAGCTGATTACACACAAAATACTTTCTCAAAAAGCTGATCGAAAAAAGCTACTTTGAGAAGCTTTTTGAATTTTAACATTTTGGAACAATAAGTTGTTACAAAAAGTTAATTAATCAAACACTCATATTGATTGTTTAATCAAGTCAAACAGCTAATAGTGGTCAAATAAGTCAAAATTAGTTGATAGGCTAACTATTTTACCAAACAGGACCTTGGATTTAACTGATGTCAAGTATACAATCTCGGCTGCTCGCGCATGCTTCCTTGACAAATTAAAGATGTTGGATCACTCACTCTCTCCTGGGAAGCTGGCAGATTTTGTGGTTTTGTCTACTGATTCATGGGATTCTTTTGCAAGTGATGGATTTGCCTCGGTTCAAGCAACAAATCACAAAAAGACCAAGGCTGATTACGAGATGGAACTTGAGAGAGAATGAAATACATTGTAATGTGTATACTTCTTTCCTGTAGTATATTTCAATGCTTAAACTAGAAATTGTGACACCCTCCTAAACACCATACACTGGAAACTTGGAGGTTTTGCCTTTTAAACTTCAAGAAACATGTACGACAGGCCTGAAAATTGCATAACAGTTTGTTCATATTTGTTATTAGGCAAAAGATTCTGATGATTTCTCAAATTGACAGTCATTTACTTGAGATAAAACACAAGCATAACCGTGTTCTCTCTTTAAATGGGACACATGACAATTGACAGAAATTGTGAGTTAAACAAGAATTGAAAGACCCTTCTTTTCTGGGGTTGGAATGACCGTCTTGTTACCAGGGAAAGCAGTTCGTGAGATGTCAACCAGGGCTTTGAAGCTATATGGTTCGTGCATTGAGAGCTCAGACAAAACTTTTCTGTTTAGCTGGATATTTTCCTTCATCAGTCCATGCATGAAATTACCATAATTTACCTGAAGTTGACAACAAAAGAAGAGATGAGGACAGTAAATCTTTCTTGTTCCAAATAATAGATAGTCTGAATCATAAATATGAACCAAATCCAGCTACTTTGACTGGTTTGCACCCACAACCCTATATCTATACTAATCACCAGTAGAGAGCATGAAAAGTTTCATCAAGTCACTAGATAAAAGAAACAAATGTGAAGAACATTTTCTTGACCACTTTACAGTTTAAATCCCATCATGAAAGAAAGCAGCTTTAACCATCCATTTCTTCCACCAAACCAAATTTTAATCTTCTTAGTCCAGTTTACGCAGAGGATAGCACCCTGCTTCTGTCATGTCCTCTCGTTTTCTTCATCATCCTATTTCCTACCTCCTAAATACCTATACAAAATTTTGGTATCTCCAACTTTCAAGTGTTTACACCCACCCTATTGGACAAGAATGGTTTTTTCCAACATGACTGCTTTTTAGGAAACACAAATCCTCAAATCTGTAATTTGACTAATTTCATTATATCAATAATCAATATAACAAAATGAAACTGATTCACTCTGTTGTTTGAGCACCTATCTTTTGTATTGAATGTTGTAGGTATACACTTCCAATTTTCCTCAAATATACACACATGACACATTGCAGAACCAAGTTCACAGTGCATATATATCCAGAGCGCATAAACCAACCAAAACACACCACAAATCCTCAAAATTTCCGAAAAAGAAAATATCAGCTCGAAGTTCGATGGGGCAATTAATCAAATACAAAGCAGTCACTCAAAATAGAAGCACAATTTCCAGATACATATATAGAAAGGGGTGGCGAAAGAAGGGTGATAAGAGAAGAGAAGAGAAGAGAAGCGTACTCCGTGTTGGCGAGTGCCGGCGTTGATGCGCTGGATCCAAAGCGAGCGCATGTCGCGCTTCTTGTTGCGGCGGTCTCTGTAGGAGTACTGCAGTGCTTTCTCCACCCTCTCCCTTGCTATTCTTATACAGTTTTTCGCCCTCCCTCTGAACCCCTTTGCTAGCTTCAAAACCTCCTTCTTGTTCATTATTCCCTATCTCTCTCTTTCTCTCTATCTCTGTCTGTCTTGCTCAAGTAGCATAGGCTGCAGATTCTTTCTTGCTCTTTGCCCTATTACCAACCTTTTCTTTGAGGTTATAAATAGAGTAAATTTTAATTTTGGTCAGTTGACTATACTTTTTAAAAAAATTAAATTTTAGTCAGGTCAAATTATCAGTTAGGAAGATATTTTAATCATTTTTTTTTTTCTCCTTTGACAAGCTACCGTGTTTTTGATCAAAGACTCTGTTCGGGTGAAATTTTCCGATCAAATCTTAGTTCCTTTTTTGACTAGGTGAAGTTTTTCGGCCAAATGAAGAGAGGTGCAAATATATAGAGATACTGCATGGAGCAACTCCAACCAAATTATCAAACTGTTTAATAACCACAAGATTACAAGTTTGAATACTAGTAAGAACAGTCTATTGGTTTTCTTGATTTAATCAGGTCAACTGGTTTGGTTTTCTTGATTTAATCAGGTCAACTGGTTTGATTTTCTTGATTTAAGCAGGTCAACCGGTTTGTAATCTATCCAATGCATAATCTTGAATAGTGGCTGCGAATTTTTCTCGTCCCAAAAGAAAAACAAAGTATAGAAATACATAAATCCTGTATGTAGTAAGGCACAAACTATTTGCATGAACAAAAGGCATGCAAACATCAGTGAAGATGGTAAGGAGCATAGCACAAAGCACAATCAAAATAAGGAAAACAAAGGGGATTCATCAGTCAGCATTATTGACAAGGAATCAATCCATAACAAGGATATATATGTTAGAGATAACATTGTCATGTTAACATTCATATCATAGGTTGCAGCATATAATGTTCTTGCAAGTTCAACCATCAACCTTGGTCGCTGCTGCTGATGCATAGCTCACACTACTGTCTCTCATGTTTTTGCACTGACTCGATTGCTCATAACGAACGAATTTAATCTTTATCTTTGTCGAACAGTTCTTTGACATCTGGGAAAATTCAAATGTTAGTTATTCATCACCAAATTGTGAAATACAAAAATGAAAATAAATAAATAATAAATACATAAAGTTGAGATATTTACATGGAGGAAAACACTAATTGGATGGCGTCCGCAAATGGTGTTGTCAGTCTCCAACAAATACTGTTTAAATGCATCCGGATCACCCGTTTCTATTATGTCCATACCCATTTTATCCAGCGCCTCGATTGATTTGTAAATTTCTCCGTGTGTTTTGTCATAATATGTGTAACGGAACCTGGCAGACAAACCAAAAACCCAATTATCTAAAATACAAATACACAACCAATGTATCTTTTATTTAAATTCTTAGAAACTTGGTTGGATGTGTTGAGCATATAACCATTAATGTGCAATCCAACTATCAGCTTAGGCTTTTAGTTGAGATGGAGCACATGCTTCAATTTGGTCTCAGAGCCAGACCAATGGTCAGGGTGTGTTGAGCATATAACCATTAATGTGCAATCCAACTATCAGCTTAGGCTTTTAGTTGAGATGGAGCACATGCTTCAATTGGATGCAATCAAGATATGTCATAAGACTATGAATACTTGATGCAATTAAAAAGTTCATGACAAAGAAACCAAATTCAGCAACAGCATGGCATAAGAAATCAAATATAGAAACATAGAAGTCTAATAAAACAATATCAAATGAGCGTACCGTGAACCCCAATGACAAAAATCTGAAGATACGGAAAAGAAATTTTTTGGATCATCGACATATTTTGCCAGCAATTGTCCATACATGGCTTCGTTTTCAGCACTAAGAGCGCCAACCAAAATAGGAACGACTTTCACCTCATACCTGCCAGACCAATTCACTAATTCAGTCTCCAAGAACATTACCTTTGAAGGTTCAGTGTCCAAAACGTACCCGCGAAAAACTTTAGCAAGATAAGGCAGGTGCATTTCCATGCTGTGCTCAGCCTCATCAACATGAAGGTCCATAGATTCAAACTTCCCAGTAGCTTTCAACTCCTCAATGACTGTTGAAACATGCTGTGTATCAGCCTTTTATAATAACTTTTGACGAAATGGTTTCTTTGACATGGACAATACAAAGTAGAGGATTGAATGGGGGTGGGGATGAGGGGCACTTGAATTTGATTTTCTCATAAAAACATGATTATGATGTTGATTCACAAATGTATTTAAACACGTGAAAAAATTTATTTGGAAATGTATGATAGTATGAATCAACCACATAGAAGGGAATTCCAAAATTAAATACCAAACGCTGAAGTCATGTTTTGCTAAGTCAACTCAAACAACTAGACAGATACAACCAATATACTCTATGATAACGTCATTCTTTGCAGCTATGATTAAAGATAGGGCAAATAAAATAAAATAAAATAAAAAGATAAGAAAGTGCATGCAGAAATCAATTCTTGAGTACCTTCCATATCAATAGGTAAGTCTCCTATTGGAGTCTTGTAAACTGTGGCTCTTGAAAGTGCACATTTTGGAGTGTAATAGTGGTGTGATGGGCCAAGAAGGAACACACGAGAACTACAAATACAAAGGGCATTCATGGTAAAAGAGAGGAATTCATAAAAGAAATACACTTTTTTTTTTCACTAATTCTTAGAGAATAATGCAGGCTGTTCACATAGAGTGCCTAACTACTTGATTTTGATGTAATTGTTATGATTGCACCGTAACTAATTCACTAATAGTTTTATCACCGATATAATAAAGAAACACGGAGACTAATACAAGGAAGAGAAGGTGTACATGTTTGCTGGGTCTATGTTTCCAAATGCAAATGCTGCTGCACGACCTGAATACGAATAGCCTGCATGACTAGTAGCCCGAGGCCACCATAACAATTACATCAACATCTCATAGTTAGCCAAACAACAAAAAAAGAGCGGGATTATGACTTACGGTGCAATCACACCCCGTACATCGGAAGACTTAGCCAAACCACATGCTCTCAACCACCCATCAAGCTCTTCTTCCAGCTTTTGGGCTGCAAATGGATGTTATGAAGCATTAGTGATAAAACGCGGTGCTACTATTCTTGAAGAGCTTGATACTTTGTTTGTGACTTCTATACAAATGCACGATGGATAGCCACTTCTCTAGTAAAGTGGAAAAGAACGCCCAAGCATTTGAAACAAACAAATACATAGAGAGCCCGGCCTCAAATGTTCATGTTTTCTAATCAAATTAAGTAGAATTCTTCAGCTCCCAACCAGCATTTCATCTGTTCTTGCGGGCAAAGGATGGTGCAAAATCAAGAAACTAACTAATAATAAATCCATATTGCTATTCTATTCTACCACATTTGTTTAAGTGTTAAACTACCTTAGCAACACACCCATTTTACCCAAACAGATCTTCTACAAATGTACAACCCATTTCCATAATTAAGGAAACAGGACAGCACAAATTTTAGTAATCCCATCCCTCACTTAACTGAACCTCATAACTTCCACTCTCAAATCAAAATCGTCAAACAATACACAAAAATTAGAAATCCAAGAATCTGAAAAAGAAGAAAACTTTACCAAAGATTAAAATGGAGAAGAAGAAAAGTATCCCAATGGAATAAGAAATTGAAAAAAAAAAATCTTTACAGAAGGAACCGGGCAAAATTCTTACTACTCAAAACCCCACAAAGTTCGCACCATAAGAAAATGAACAAGACAATCGATCAGTTGTATAAATTCAAGAAAGAAACAAATCTTTAAAGAAAAGGGTTCGATTAATTGAAAGAAATGATAAAAACCAAGAAATGGGACTTACGATTATCAGTGTACCATGAACCAGCATGCGATGCTCTCCTGATTTTCTCCATTATGGAAGACTGATGAATTGTGAAAGGATTTTTGTTTTGTTACTGATGATGTGTGATGCCCAATATATAAAAAGGAAGCGTGTGCCTCTTTCCTTTCTTCCTTGACTTGTGCACTTTACAGTTTACTCTACCAAGACCAATAACCCTCTGTTACATTTTATCTATGGTAAATATTCTGCTTAAATTAAATCCTTTTCTTCATTTTTTTAAAAATTTAATATGTTGTTTTTATTACATTTTTAATATATAAAGTTTATTTATTAATATTAAATTAAATTTTATAAAAATTAAAATATAAATAACTCGAATCAATCCCGTTGCATTTTAGCAACATAAACATACAAATTAGATGGAGACTATAAAGCAAAGCATATTGAAGAATACCACATCATGTTATATGTGAAGTTAAATACTATTTGAATTACATTTGTATACTAAATTATAGTTTGCACCAGTTTTCAAAAACAAAAAGAATAAGGGTCAAATAGGCCATTGAACTGCACACGATAATGCAATTAAGTCACTAAACTTAAAAAATCAACAATTAGGTCCCTAAACTAACTCATTTTAAATAATTCTTTCAATTTGTAGGTTTCCAACAAGTTAACAGGTCATTCTCTAAATTAATTATTTTTTAAAAATAAAGTTTTAAAATTAATTATTTAAAAAAAAATAGAATCCTGTCGGAGACAAAGAAACTTCTTCGTCTCCGGCCATGGAGAAGAAGAAACTCTTCGTATCCGGCCGTGGAGACGAAGAAATCGGCCGGAGATAAAGAAGGTTTTTTCGTCTGCGATCGGATTCTATTTTTTTTTTTTTAATTTTAATAATTAATTTTTTAACTTTATTTTTTAAAAAATAATTAATTTCGGAGAATGACCTGTTGGAAACCTTCAAATTGAAAGAATTGTTTGAAATTGATTAGTTTAGGGACTCAATTGTTAATTTTTTAAGTTCAGTGGCCTAATTGTATTATCGTGTACAGTTCGATGGTCTATTTGACTCTTATTCCAAAAAAATAAAATAAAAAATTATAGTTTCCACCATGGTTTAATACTTTAATTATGCCACCATCAATCCTCTAAAATTTAGAAAGGGGAAATAATATTAGTTTTTTTTATAGAGTCATGAGTCCTAGGACCTAGTGGGCTATAGTCGCTCAATCGACCAATAAAGGTGAGAACTTAATGGCATGGTGTTGGCCTGAGAACTGAGTATGTGAAGTAATAGGATAATTATTTACGGTTAATGAGGTTAGGAATGTGGGCTCATGTTATTATTATCCTGTCACTCACTTAGTTCTTTTTTATACTCGTATATATTATTTAATTCATTATCAACAACTATAGTGATTATGATAAATTATTTTTTACAAAAATATTATAAATAAAGAATAAACGTGTGTTAAAATTATTATATTATAAATTAAATGAAATTTATTTTTATTTATTTGTTAGAACTTTAAATAAAAATTATTAATAATATATTTAATGCAAATATCCATAAATAATTCAGATTGTAATGATGCTTTAGATTACATGACCCAAAAAAATGATATATTTTATAATGTTTTAGTTTTTGGATAAATTATATAAAATAAATTTTAGTTTTTTGTTGTAGCTCTCATCACTACTATCTTAACTATCTCGGCTAATGGTGTTTGTTTGAATAATAATGTTTTACTAGGTATCATCATTATCAACAGATTCGGAATCAATTGTGAAGGGAAAAGGGACAAGGGCAAAAGCACGAGCAAGTGATGCCAGTACAACTGGTGGAACAACTACAAGTAGTGGGGTTGAAAAGAGTAAACCGAAAGCTAAACGACCAAGGTCAGAGGTATGAGATCACTTCCATAAGTTCATTACAGATAGTGGTGATCACAAAGTTAGATGCCATTATTGTAAAAGAGAGCTTTTTGCAGACACTAAAATGAATGGGACCATTGAAAGCCCATTTGAAAAGTTTTTCTAAATTTCCACGTATTAGTTCTGATCTTGCACAAACTAAATTAATTTGCCAAGTAAGTGAATGGGAGAGTTCAATAAGTTTTGAGAAATATAGTGCAAAAGGTCTTAGGAGGGCCATAGCTGAAATGATTATTGAAGATGAATTGTCCTTTAAGTTTGTGGAAGCAAAGGGGTTTAGAAAATGTATGTTTATTCCTTGTCCTAGATTTAAAATGTCATCTCGTTGGACTATTGCTAGGGATTGCTATGATATCTATTTGGATGAGAAGAAAAATTTGAATACTTTGTAGTATTCTCATTCTGTTAAAGTGTTACTCACCATGGATTCTTGGACATCGTTGCAATGGGCAAATTACATGTGTCTTACATGCCTTTTATTGATAATGATTGAAAATTGCATAAAAGGATAATTAATTTTTGTCGAATTACAAGTCATAAGGGTGAGGATGTGGATAAAGCAATTGAAAAGTGTTTGCGTGATTGGGGCATTGATAATGTTTTCACCATTACGGTTGATAATGCTAGTTCTAATGATGTTGTCGTATGATACTTGAGAAGAAAGTTGAATAATTTGGGTACTAGTATCCTACAAGGAAAATATCTTCATATGAGATGCATTGTACATATCGTTAACATTTTTGTCACCGATGGGATGAAGAATATGAATGATTCAATTGCTAAAGTTAGGGGAGCTATAAGGTACGTGAGTCAATCACCATCTAGATAGCTCAAATTTAAAGAATGCGTTGAGATGGAAAAGATCCAATCTAAAGCTTTGTTGATATTAGATGTGAGCACTAGATGGAATTCCACTTACTTGATGTTAGATTTAGCTCAAAAGTTTGAGAGGGCATTTGAGAGATTTGAAGAAGTTGATCCTAATTATAGGCATGACCTCTTATTTGGTGATGTTGTTCCAAATCATGAAGATCGGGAAAGTGTTAGGAGACTAAGCATGTTTTTGCAACATTTTTATGATCTTATAGTGAAGATTTCTGGTTCTTTGTATATTGCCAATGTTTATCTTGATGAAGTTTGTGATGTTTATTCTACTTTGTGTGACTGGTTGAAAAGTACTGATTGTGAGTTCAGTGCAATGGCTAAAAGAATGGTTGAAAATTATGACAAATATTGAGAGAATGTGGAGAAAATGAATATGTTGCTTTATATTGCATGTGTACTTGATCCATAGGCTAACTACGGTTGTCTAGACAGATGAAGGCCGACCAACTGAGGATATGATCAGATTCATGATTGATAATCGGTCAGCTTTCCAACACGATTGAAGCAAAAGGAGGATCGGATGGTATAACACAAAGACATTGCACTAGAATTGTTACAATAGTTCGACAAGTACGAGTTGATCCAAGTGCCCATAATAGAGAACATGGACGCCGACATGTTGTCTAAGTTGACCCAGGAAGCCCCCGAGTACATGTCCAAAATTGCACGGATCGAAGAGATCGAGTCGCCAAGCATTGACATAATTGAGATCCGACCGGTCAAAATGAGCGAGTCTGGATGTACGACCTAAAGAATTACATAGCCAATGACACTCTACTGAATGACACCACCAGGGCGAAGAAGGTCAGACTGAGATCACCTCATTTCCAATTGATCGACAAGAAACTCAATAAGCGGTGGTATAGCGGACCACTCCTGAGGTGTCTGACAAGCGGTGAAGCTAAGATTGTGATAGAGGAAGTTCATGACGGAATTTGTTCGGCCCACCAAAGACCAAGGACGTTGGCACAAAAAAATCATCTTGCTATGATACTATTGGCCTTCAATTAACTTGAATTGCGAACAGTACGTGCGACGGTGCGCTACTTGTCAAGAGTTTCACAAGTTGCCTGGTCGACCAGCTACCTACTACCAACTGATCAGTGAAGTAATACCCTTTGTAGGGGGGGGGGGGGGGGGAGTGGACCTGATTGGGGTGTTCCCGATGGCGGCCGGCCGGAATAAATATGTGATCGTAGCCATTGATTACTTCACCAAGTGGGTAGAGGCGGAAGCACTTACAACCATCACTTCGCAGCAGTGCCAAAGGTTTCGCTAGGAAAAGGTAATCACTCGGTTTGGGATTCTATTCTACTTGATCACTAACAACGGAACGCAATTTGACAGCCAACCGTTCTAAAACTTCATGGCCTGGATAGGCATCACAAACACACCCGCGCGACTGTAGCATACCCACAAGCCAATGGGCAGGTGGAGAATACCAACCGAACGATCCTTGACGAACTGAAGAAGAAGTTGCAAAGCACGGGTCGAGGCTGGGTAGAGGAACTCCCGTATGTTCTCTGGACCTACTGAACTACTCCGCGACGGGGCGACCAATGAAACACCCTTATCGCTGACCTACAGATTCAAAGAAAGGGTACCGATCAAAGCATGGATCCCTACCGCCCAGGAAAGAAATTACCAGCGGAGGAAAATCAACGTATATGATTAAGTTCACATAGTGACCCCAAAAACTATCAGGATATATTTTTTCTGGGTGGATTTTTCAAGCCGACTAGTACAGCCTTACCCGACTGATTAGTCGATCATCTATACTTGTCACTCACCTTTAGGGGATGTTTGGTTCATGGAAAATGTTTTCCAAAGGAAAATATTTTCCTTAAAGTGGAGGAAAATGTTATTTTTTGGTGTTTGGTTCAAATTGGAAAATGAATTTCTCAAATTTGAGGAAAAACAAAATCTTTAGTTGGACCAAGGATTTTGTTTTCCATGGAAGATGAGAAGAAAAAGTGATATTGCTTGACTATTTTACCATTGTTTTCTTTCTTAATTATATTACTCTTATTAATTTGTAGGGGCATATAGATCTTTATACTCGTTATTCCTTACAATTCCAAATCTCTATACCCGTTATTCCTTACAATTCCAAATCTAACTAAACAATAGAATTAGTATTTCCAGTAATTCTTTTTCCATCAACCAAACAATGAAATTTATCTTCCTAATAATTGTTTTTCCATGGAATTTCAATTCCACTCCCCTTAAAATATTATCTGCGAACCAAACGAGCACTTAGTGTACAAATAAAAGCCTTACCCATTGGGTACCCTACACGACTTAAGATTGACTATTACACTTAACTATTGAAATTGTTTTCTTTGCAATCTTATTGGTATGTATTTGTAGAGTGAAGGGCACCTAGTCAGTCGGATCAACACATGAAGACAATAAAATTACACGTAGGCAATACGGAGTAAAGGAAATGAAAAACACTTAAATAAAATAAAATAGTTTGACCAACACAAGAACATAGTCGGCCTTCCGAGTACTAGAAGTTAAAGTCCAAAAGAGACGAAAACAACTAAGGAATGCATAACATCATATCAAGAGTCTTAATTCCTAGAAGCAACAGTAGATGGTTCGATCGAATCTACAGGGGGATCACTAAAAGGCTCTGGAGCAGGTGGCGCTATTTATGCAGGTAGAATAGCGCGGACTTGCTCCCAATCCTCCGGAAGAGCATCTTCGAGAGTCTGATACAAAAACTCCTGCATGGCATGTTTCCCCTGGTGGTAACCCCAAGCGGTCACTCGACGTAGCATCTTCAGACCTACGGGATCCCTGCGCAACGTCTGAAGCAAGGGGATAATAGCGTCCTCGGATGAGCATAATGACTTGACCAGACCGGGTACTTTGGCCAGTCGGGAAGGGTAAAGCACGGCAGCATCCTCAAAAAATTGGTCGGAGCCGGGATATTGATTCAAGGAGCCCACCTAAGCCTCTAGATCCCTCACTCTTTCCTTAAGTCTTCTCAACTCTTCCTCACGCTCCATGGCGTCAAGTCGAGACCGAACAAACAACTCAGCGCTCCCGTGTGCAACCTAACATGTGTACAAATCAATAAGGTAGGTGCAATTGACAAACAAGAAAATAGAAAGAAAGGAAGGAACGGGTAGCAGATAGCAATCAGAGCAAGTACCTGGGACAAGTGATGGGCAACCTGCACCCCCACGAAGTCGGTCGTCCCATTAACAAGGCTCGCGGAGGGAGGACTCAACTGGAACATCAAATTAAAAATCTCCGACAGGTTAACCGTACCGCGGGAAAGTGCATCGGCAAGTCGGGGCTCCTCCCCAGCCACCCGAGCTCTCTTAGGGTCAATCGCATGCGCATCCTTAGACACCTCGACCTCAACCACCTCCATGCGATGCTTTTCTGTCGACTTGGTCTGACTCGGAGCAACGAAGGAACCAGATGCAGGGGATTCGGTAGGTGGCTGGCCGACAGTGTGCTGATCCGCGAAAGTGGTAGTCGACTTCCTCTTCAGACCAACCTTTAGACTCTTTGTAGCTTGGCCCCTAGACGAAGCATTTTCGACTGAGTCTATCAGGTCCTCAAGATTGTCGTCAAAACCCATTATTGATTGACCTGCACAATAAGCAACAGAACAAACAAAAGAGTTAGAAATTAAAAGAAAACAAGTCGTGATATTTCGACCGACTGACCGACCCACCACCCGAAACAGTATGACTCGATGACTCGTAAGTCGGGAGAGGAAGCCGAGCTTCTGCCATGTGCATTAAAGGCGTAGACTGACTTAGTTAGTATAAATAGAAAGGTCTTACCCTCACTTCTCATCTTCATCTCATTATAACGACTACTTACTACGGGTAATCGTCACTCTGTAACATCACTTTGCTTATAATCCACTCTACATTGCAATCTACACCACCTACTAGCGCTCTTTCTTACTTGTTCACAAACATACGTATTCGTAGTGTAATCGTAACCCTCGGTTCCATTTATGCTATCAATGAGCCTATTACCTCGGACAGTCAACCTACATTTAATTGCGAGGTGACCGTCTGACTAAGCCAACAAGAACGCGCCACGTCGACCCACTTGCAACAGAGCATTAAATGCTTGGACCAACATGTTTAGTATAAATAGGAGGGTCTCCCACTCACTTGTCATATTCATCTCATTGTAACGAGCACATTACTTGTAACACTCATCACTTTGTACCACTTGAGATTTACTCTACATTGCAATCAACTTCACTTGTAATTGTTCGTTACTTGTAATACAACATATCTTTGAACCGCTCAGTTGTCACCCGGTAGATGGATCAACTGACTCACCGACCGCCATCTTTACTTGTTCATAACATACGTATTCGTAGCGTAATCATAACCCCCGGTTCCATTTACACTATCAACTTGAATTTAATTTCTAAATACTAAGTTAATAATATTTGCCAGCCACCCATGACTACACTTTATTTGACTCACTAAATATCGTATCGTGATTCTGTTAGTCCTTATTCTAATGCCTCAAGCTACTTGGCTCCCTCCGTCTTAATTAATGAATAAACACAGTTTTTGTTCCTTAAAAATGTACTAAAAGGAGTACATAGCTCAGAAGCTTAAGTGATTCCTGTAGAAAAAAAAAAAAAAAGTGTAGTGTAGTAGGAACTGAAGATCTGGACACAGAGAACATAAAAACATGTCACTGTGCAATATAATATGGAAACAAATCAGTCTAGTTTGTTCAAAAAAAACAAATGATGCACATTTCCTCCCTCAAGAAGATCATCAAAGTTAACAGGTACACTTTTAGGGGGCAATAAAAAAAAGGCACACTCTTAGCCAAGAATTCATTCCAGCATTATTGAATATATTGATTCTCAACAAAGACATAGAAACTAGATTTCATACAGACCAAGACCCACATCATTCGCACTTACCTTGGAGTCTCAGTGTAAATGCCTGCAAGGCTAAAAGAATAGCCTTTATTTTCTCCCTGGTATCAGCATCAACCAAGTCCCCATCACTGTTAAACTTGGAAGGAGGCTGGAAAGCATTAAGGAAAAATTCAGGCTTGTTAATGAAATGAAGGTCGAGGTAGACGCCTATCTGCCGGAGGTGGTATTGTGATCGTCCCCCGCCAAAGCCGCCTCCAGCACTGATGATTGCAGCGGCTTTATCAGCCCAAACATTTGGGGGTCGAGATGCCCAATCAATTGCATTTTTTAACGGCCCTATACAATAGTAAATAGCACAGTTAAGTATTCACTATTCAGTAGCATAAGTGAGTCCTAGCAAACGGTAGCCCTGGCTAGAAATTGGATTTTTAGATTGCACACTTCCACAAAATTCAGGAAATAGGCAAATATAAAAATTATAAGGATATATATGTAATTTTTTAAATATATAAAAATATTAATTGTATATTAGTTTCATGATTAAAATTAATATACTATATAAAAAAGTATACAGTTATATGGAGTTTGGAGCAAACGATAAGAACTCACATTTCTTACCCAAAAAAAAAGGTAAGATTCTTGAAATGCTCCTTAAGATTTTTAAAAATAAATAACTTCAACTTTTGGTGCCATTTATTATTTGGTTATTTCCATATTTCTTAAGTATTAGTTTTTCACATTTTGTCCTCTCACCAAACCTCCAATAGAAAAACAAACAGCCCAAATACATACTACTTTTCAAGTTTGAAATCATACATTATTTTTTCAAAAGTGTTGAGGTACTCAAGTTCATATGATTTTGCACTTAAAATATAATGCATTCCAACTATCTTTTACCAAAAATTTAACTATAATAAATAATAATTATCCACCAATTGTGACAAAAAATAAAAATAATATGGAAGTGATTTAATATTCATGGGATTAAATATGAAAATAATTTTTTTAAATTAAAATATATATATATATATACATATATATATATATATATATATATATATATATATATATATATATATATTGGAGAAGTTTTTAACAAGTTTTCCATGTGAAAATGTTCACAATGCAAAAAACTTCTTCATTCTACAGGAGTCTACCGACAGCAATAATTGTTATTTACTTACTTTCTTATCCCTTTTTAGCTCCAGCCGATAGCCAGAAGACTAATCCCCCGTCCCTACTGTCAGCACACTAAGTGGTAGAGGATTGGCCAAATGGTTTGCTCCATTCACATGGGTGGGGATCAAATCCCCAACCTCATGCTTAAGGGACGAGGTGCTGAACCACCACGTCAACCATGTTGGTTAGCTTTCAATATTCATAATTAGTGCATATTGCACACCCTATAATTGGCCCAACTTACTGTTCCTCTTCATATTTTAGTTCATTATTCTTCTACCTATAACTTTGGCCATTATACATCGAATAAAAAATAAAACTAAGAAAGCACTGCAACTGCAACAGCAACACACTGATTCGCTGATTGATTAACAATAATAATAATAATAATAATAAAAATCAATCAAATAAATAACTAGTGGGTGAAGATGGTACCAGTAACAGAATAATTGTACTCGGGGGAGGCAAATAGGACGCTGTCAGCTTGAAGAATCTTTTGGCGAAACTCCTCAACAACCGGAGGGAAGGTTCCATCAACCTCAAGATCAGTGTTTAGAAATGGTAACGGCGATATATCCACGTACTCTATATTCAACCCCTCGATTGATTCCTTGCTTATCTCCATAGCTATAACCATACAGAAAAATTGGGAAAGTAATAAAATCAGCCTCCATTGCTTACAATTTACAGTAACAATCTCTATCATTATAAAGTAATTGAACAAATGATACAAGATGAAATTCAACTGTAAGAAAACGTAATCGAATCAGCCTCAATTGGTTACAGTTTAACAATCTCAATCATTATAAACTAATTCAACTGATGATGCAAGATGAAATTCAACTGTAGGAAAAAAGTAATCGAATCAACCGCCACTGGTTACAATTTAACAATCTCAATCATTATAAACTAATTCAGCTGAATCAATGATGATGCGAGACAAATTCTCGCGCATCACGCTGCATAGAATGACCGTGGAATAGACGGAGCGCACATCCGTACATTGAACAGAAACTAGTGAATAACAGGACAAGCGTATACAGGGAGAGAGAAGGAAGGGAGTACCGGCGCGGAGGAGGCCGCGATTGTAGGAGCCTTTACGCAGAGAGCCGCAGAGGCCGACGACATTGACGATTGGTTTGGTAGCCATAGCTGCAGCTTGCTTGCGAGCTTCCTTTGAGGAAAAAAACAAATGGTGCTTAACTTGCAGTTATCGGTGGGGATTTAAAGTACGGAAGTGGTGGATCAGACAGCCAGCGACGGATCAGAGAACAGTCCGTCGGTGACATTTTGAGATCAAAAATTAAAAATCAAGCCAGAATCGGAGGAGGAACAGTACCGTTCGTCGGTTAGCGTGTGAGGCGGCGGAGCAGGCAGCCGGCGACGAGCTTGGAGGCAGTGAACAGTGGTCTTCGCCGGCGACGTCGCGAGGAGCTTCAGCTTAGGAATTTGACGGAATTTCTCAATTTCTGTTGGATTTTGGACTCCAGCTTAGGGATTTCACATTATTATTATTATTATTATTATTATTATTATTATTATTATTATTATTATTATTATTATTAGTGTCCTCGAGTTTGGTGGTTTGGCTATCTTTAGTCCTAAGCTTTCGTAATTACCTTTCGTGATCCTCCAAGTTACGAAAGGTGGCATGCAACCGTCCATCCGTTAATTCCTTTCGTTTCCGTCGTCTTAAGCGAGGGTAAAATTTGTCATTTGACTTTTATACTTCGTTTTTATATCAGATAGCTGATTCTATACAAATCTCTCCATAATTTGTCATCTTTTTCACGCTTTATTCCAAGGTTGAAAAAATCGCTAGGCGCCTGGGGACCGCCTAGGGCGCCTGGAGCGCCTAGGCGGACGCCTAGAGCGATTAATCGGCGCCTAGGGCGTTAGGTGGCCGACCGCCTAGCACCTAGGCGCCGATTAAACTAATCGGCGCCTAGGCCCGATTTTTGCAATACTGCTTTATTCACATAGTAAACCCTAATCTTCTTCTTTTTCATCAAATTTCTCAACTTCTTCAAGAAATTTCGTGAGCATCAATGTCATCTTCTTCCAAGTAGTTTAAGGAGGAGATTTAATTTTGGAGACTACATACACATTCGTGAGTGTCAATGCGGGAATCAACTTGCTATTCAAACATCTTGGACAGAGCGCAATCCGGGTAGGAGGTTTTGGCAATGTTCAGAATCATCTGTGAGTGAAATTTTGAATTTTTCTATGTATAGAATTTTTAACTTTTTAACATCAGTATATGTATGTTCAGAATTATATCTGACAAATTGATTTTTTTTTTTTTTTTTTTTGGTTTTAGAGAGGGAACGGTTGTGGTTTCTTTGACTGGGCAGATCCTCCAATGTGTCCAAGGACAATCAGTATAATACCCGAGCTGTTGAAGAGAATAAATAGAGACAAAGAATAGATCGAGAAGTTAAAGGCTATGTTAGAAGTTGCTACTAAGAAAAATGTAGTGAACTCTAAGAAAAAAAGTTGTTGCAAATTCATAATTGTAATCGTATTTGCAATTGGATTCCTATCTCATGTGTTTAGCAAGTGTAGTAGTTAGTCAATAGGACTTGTAAAAATGCTCCCAACCAATTAAAGTTATAACTTGATTTGGACCAGTTAATGTATTTGAAGTGTGTTAGAGCATCCACACTTGTGCATATTATGGAGAGATTTCAGAATGAATTCTTCTCAATGGGGATAATACAAATGTGGGGTGGGGTTAATTGTGGAAATATTCATCCTGCAAAATTGGGAAGAATGGCAGAAAAAGAAGAAAGAGAAAGAAAAGAAAAAGGGGCTGCTGTGCGCGACCCACACGGGCGCGTACGGCGCGCCTGACCCTTTAGTTTTTTTTTTTTTTTTTTTTTTTTTTAATTTTTGATTTTGATTTTTTTGTTTTTTTTTTCCTCCCCTTCCCACATTCTCTCTCCTAATCACTTTTACATTATCTCCCAATTCTCCCCAACCATTGTGGATGCTCTTAATGTACCTGCAGTGTGTCTGCTACTTGAATGCCTTCTTTAGATTGCAGTGCAGTGTGTTGTTGGTATTTACTGTGAAAGGAACACAGGCAAATAACTTGTGCAATAAAAGGAACAAAGGCAAATAACTTGGCAATAAAAGGAACAAAGTCAATACTGACCAACATTGTGCAAAATACCATTATCATTACCATTCAAGTACTTGCATAAACAAAATAAATGATTACTTGCCTAGCACATAACTGCCTACCACTTGTGCCAAAATAAGAGTTGTTTTACAAAAAAAAACACAATTTGAACAGTAGGGTTTAGCCAAAAAAAACTGCATAACTTCAACAGTAGTACAACCTATTCAATTTCTATTGGATCATAACTTGTATTTTTGAATTTGAATTTCTGTGAACTACGGGTCATATATTTTCGAGCAGTGGGCCTTGTCTTGCCTTCCTTCTTCCTCTCCAATGCAATGCTTTGTGCTTGACTGAGTTCTTGACTACCCTCTTCTTCTCCAATGCAAGGTGTTTTACATTAAAATTTTATTGATTAATTAGTAATAATCGAGAGGGAATATTGGGTAGTAGACTACCCTCAATAAGCTAGCCTAATAATCCAATAGATATTCACAAGTTCAGTGAAACGGTCAAAATTTGAGAGTCTAAGTACGTTAGACATGCATATTAGATATTATTAAGGACATTTAGTGCTTACATGTGGAGCTGTTGTCCTAAATTCTGATGGAACGCATTAGACCTTATTAATGACATTTAATGCTTACATGTGATGCTGTTGTTGTCATGGTATAGCGACTAAGTTAAATTTAAATTCAACTTTATATTGTTATATACTTTATTATTACTCTAGACATATAACTATACTTGAATTTAATTTCTAAATACTAAGTTAATAATATTTGCTAGTCACGACTACACATTATTTGAAGGGACCAAAAAAATGATTACACATTATTTGATTCACTAAATATGGTTTCCGGACTCTTTTAGTGTTCTTATTACAATGCCTCAAAGTTGACTAAACTCATTACTCATCATATATAAACAATCAATTTATGACCATTTTATGAAAAAGATAATAATTATAAATATATCATTTTTTTCATTGATAAAGTAAGAGCATCCTTTTTTTTTTTTTTTTTTGAAGAAAAAAAAAAAAAAAGTAAGAACCCCTTTGAGGGAATTATTCATGATTTTTGAGAAAGCTAAGTTTTGATAGACCCATTTATTGCCACTTCCATGCAGAAGGAAATAATTGATTCAACTGACGAGGGGGATGAAGCTGTATAGAAATTAATGTTTCGCGTGAACCCGATCTTGATGGAGGAAGGCTGGTCTAGGCCTGCAGATAACGGCAAATTATATTATGCACCGCGGTGCATAATCGATTATGCACCGCGCGTCTTTTTTTTTTAAATGAAAATTAACAGTGTTTATTTCCGCCGTTTCGCACCCTTTTGTAAAAAGTAACTCTGTTATTCAGTGTCATTTTGTATACACTGCAGTTTCAGTTGAACACAACTACAGTTTCATTTCGATATAACTATAGTTTCATTCGATATTTATAGACTCAAATATGTGAAAATGTTATTTAATTTTATTTTATATACACTATAGTTTCATTAAAACACAACTACATGATCATTTTGATATAATTACAGCTTCATTGTACAATATACACTCAAATATGTGAAATGTTATTCAGTTTCAGTTTATATACACTGCAGTTTCATTTCACTATAACTACAGTATCATTTTGATATAACTGCAGTGTCGGTTTAGATATACTGTAGTGTCAGTTGGTGTTTAATATACCAAACAAACGGACTCCGTTAACTCTAACGGCGGGCCGTTTCTTTACTTAAAGAAACGACGTCGTTTTTGACCGCGGTGCACATGCACCGCGGTCTATAATATAACGACTGGCAGATAACGGAAGCAATCATTATTGTATGGACCATGGTCCACACAAGTTGTGTGGATCATATTTTGTCTACTATAAAATAATGTACATTCAGTACAAAAATAATGTACATTCAATATAAAAATAATGTATATTGTAGACAGGGGATATACATTATTTTTGTTCTGAGTGTACATTATATTTTATAATGTACATTCAGTACAAAAATAATGTATATTTAATATATTAAAAATATACTTTTTGTTATGGTCCACATAACATTGTGTGGACCATGGTCCATACAATAATTTGCCTAACGGAAGTCCCCTTCGCAACAACTCTGAACCCTGGTAATGTAAAACAGCATACTCCCACCGTCCGCAAATTATGCTGTGCAACCGTGTGAACCATGTATAATGCACATTGTTACAAAAACGACGTCGTTTTGACTAAACACGTGCGTTTCACTTTTTAAAAAAAATCAGGTTTGATTTCCGGCAATAGCGTTTTTTTTTTTTTTTTTTTTGCATAATTTGAATTAAGGTTTAGGTTGTCCGTCCCGAGTCAGACGATGGTGTAGCCTCGTTCATTGATCCATGAGCTAGAGAGCCTCTTGACATGCAAGAGCTTTTGGTATGGTTGGATCATGATGAACACTTTGCAACGGGCCATTCACAGATGTCCTGAACGTTCCATCACCAGAATAGAGCACAAATAATCCAAAGGTCGTTGCCCTTGTCGCCGCATGAAGATCGGCATCCACTGATTCCACCCTAGCTACTGGCTCCGTCTTATCGAAGCTCTCATGTTGAACGTCGTTGGTCATCGCATATTATATTAAATTGATTTATATAATCTAAAACATAACACTTAGCAAAACAAGTTAATATTACTCACTCTCTCCCCATTTTATCTGTCCTACTTACTATTCATTTGTCAAACCAACTCTTTCTTCCTTATTTGTTTTCTTTATTATACTTATTTTTAAATTTGATTTTTTTGTGTTTAATAATACTTTTAGTGTAGTTTCTAAATATATAAATTTTGTATACTGATTCTAAACTTAATATTATGAAAAATTGAATTATAAATAACTTCAGTCGAGTCTCGTTAACCGAACCAGACACAAAAAATGGGACGGAAGGAGTATATTTCAGTATTTCTACAATCCAAACCAAACATATATATAAAATAATCTAACCAAATACATGAGGTAATCTAACATTTTCAAAACCCCACATTATATTTCAATATAATATTATCCAAACTAATTTCACATTTCATAAACTAAGGGTGTGTTTGGTTCACACATGGGAATCGGAATCGAAATGGGTATCAAATACTTGGTAATGGTAATAAGTTTTAGTAAAAGTGTTTTACATGTTTATTAGTAGGGTGGAATGGGAGTGATTATCAATAATGTTGTTTGGTTATGTATAATTCAATAATGCGAATAAAGATTTTAAAAATACAAGAACAAAAAAATCAAGACAATTGATTCTAATATAAAGACATCCAAAACACCAATATAAACAAACAAAAAAAAAATCTAAAAGCACTAATTAAATGGGATGAGAAGGAATAAGGG